CTCACAGAAAAAAAAATTTCAAATTGGCAAACCAAAAACCTCTAAACCCTATCCCAGGTTGCTCAATCCTGGGATTGGACATTTCCAGGAATCCGAGGGTGGCTTCTCCCTACAAATAAATCCCTGTAGGTCCCACTGCAATGAGGCTGCAAAAATCCGGGAATATCAGGAAGAAACGAAATTCCAGATCATTTCTGAGCCGTAAAAAATGGCACAGAATCCCTGAGCTGAACCCGTGGGCAGAATCCCGCGGGAATGTCCTGGCTGGATAATCCAGGATGATCCATAGGATTGCACAGAGCAGCGCTGGCTGGGAGCAGGGAAAACCAGGGAATTCGTCCCCTTGAATCCACACCCTAAATCCATCCCTGGAATCCACACCCTTAAATTTATAACCTCAATTCCACATCCTCAGTTCCTTACCCTGAAATCCATATCCTTAAACTCATATCCTCAATTCCACAGCCTCAATTCCCTGCCCTCAAATCCATCCCCTCAAACTCACCCCTCAAATTAATATCCCAAAATCCATCCCTGGAATCCACACTCTTAAATTAATAACCTCAATTCCATCCCCTCAATTCCATCCCCTTTAAATCCATTTCCTCAACTCCATACCCTGAAATCCATCCATCAAATCCATCCCTGGAATCCACACCCTTAAATTCAGATCCTCAATTCCACATCCTCGGTTCCATACCCTGAAATCCATATCCTTAAACTCATATCCTCAATTCCACACCCTCAAATCCATCCCCACAAATTAATATCCCGAAATTCATCCCTCAAATCCACACCCTCAATTCCATCCCTTTAAATCCATTTCCTCAACTCCATGCCCTGAAACCCATCCATCAAATCCATCCCTGAAATCCACACCCTTAAATTAATAACCTCAATTCCATCCCCTTAAATCCATGTCCTCACATCCATATTCAAATCCATCCCTGGAATCCACACCCTTAAATGTATAACCTCAATTCCATCCCCTTTAAACCCAGATCCTCAACTCCATACCCTGAAACCCATCCATCAAATCCATCCCTGGAATCCACACCCTTAAATTCAGACCCTCAATCCCATCCCCTTAAATTCATCATCAGGGAATTCATGCCCTGGAAAATGCCAGGCTCCTCCAGGCTCCTCCAGGGCTCCTTTGTCCGGAGCAGATGTGGGCAGCGGGAACAATCCCTGGGAACAATCCCTGGGAACAATTCCTGGGAGTGTAGGTGGCTCCTGGAGAACACAGCCCCGCATTGTCCCGCCTGCTCCTGCCGGGAATTCTCCAGGCACGGACGCTGGAGCTGCCACAAGAGATCGGGGACATTCTGAGCTGGGGGAATGGCAGGGGAGAAGCTTTTCCCAAAAATCAGCATTTTCCCAGTTTGTTTTTTTCCTGCATAGAAAGGATTTGACACTGGCCCCAAAAAAAGAAAAAAAAAAAAAAAAAAAAAAGCAGGAAAAATCCTTCAGCCTCATCCCAAAGGGAGGGACAGCCCTACAAATCCTGGAATTTTTAACTGGGAAAAAAACCCCACACGGTGGCTTAATTAGGATGAGATTGATTTGGGAGGAACAAGGAAAGGAAGTGAGGGGGGAAATAGGGATTGAAAAGGGAAAATCCAGGTGGGAAAGGGAAACGTTTGGTGCCACCCAGGACCCTCCCTGTGTCCCCTCACTGGACACCGGGGGGCACTGGGGCTGCTCCAGCACCATTTTCCCAGGAAGAAAATCCCAAAGAATCTGTGGGGTGGTGACTCAGGGGCGCTCCGGTCCCCTTGTCCTGTCCCTGATGGAGCAGCAAATCCCATCCCAGCAAATCCCAGCCCAGCAAATCCCAGCCCAGCAAATCCCAGCCCAGCCCAGCCCAGGTGACACTGTGCCACTGTCACCTCCTGTCCGGGGCCATCCGTCCCACGCTGCTCCCAGAAAACCCACGGAGCTGGTGGCACGGGGGGACACGGGCCATGCCTGTCCCCACAGTGTCCCCAGGCCACCCCTCCCTGGTGGCAGCTGGTCCTGGGATCAGCCGAGCCTTAATCAGGTGGAAAATCAGCCCTGGGATGGATCTGGAGCCTCTGGAAAAAATTCCCGGCTCCCACCTCTGCTCCTGCTGCCCTGGAGGAGATTCTGCCCCGGGCTCGAGCCTGGCTAAGGATGGGAATGTTTGGATAAACTGCGGGATTTTTGGGATCCCCAGGAGTCCCTTCCCACTCGGGATTTTCCATGATTTTTTTGTGAATAAAATGAT